ACTAACGTGTGTGTGTGTGTGTGTGTGTGTGTGAGAGAGAGAGAGAGAGAGAGAGAGAGAGAGAGAGAGAGAGGAGAGAGAGGAGAGAAGAGAGAAGAGAGGAGAGAAAGCAAGGAGACCAATAGAGGAGTGCAGGACAAGAGACCACATGGCTGAAATGGCAGGTTTATATAGAAAGAAGAAGCTGGGGGAAGGGAATGGGCTGGAGAGGCTTAGGGTAGTGGGTGGGGTGAGAACTACTGCGAGGAGCCACAGGTACTAAGGGAGCCTTGTCCCAGGTTTCCTTGGGACCTGACAGTTGGAGGCCTGGACTGAACCTCCAAAACTATGATTCAAAATAAACTTTCTCTTTTAAATTTTAATAACATTTATGTTTTTGTTTATGTGTATATATGTGAGCCTGGATGAGTAGATATGCCAGAAGAGGGCATTAGGGTCCATGGAACTGGAGTTATTGGCAGCTGTGAGCCACTATGTAGGTGCTGGGCATTGAACGTAGGTTCTCTGCAAGAGCAGCCAGTGTTCTTAGGCACTGACCAATCTCTCCAGCACCCCCTTCTTTTTCATTCTTAGTTTCTTTGGTGTACAAATGATAAGTTTCTTCTGAAGGACTTTTGTTTTCTTTTTGAGGGAGGGCCTCAGGTATCCCAGGCTATCCCAAGACCTACTGTGTGGCCACAGATGGCAAATGCTTGATCCTTGCACACCGTCTCTCAAGTCTTGGGGTTACAGACATGTGCAGGGGCATTTCGGTATAATATTTTCATACCTATAGTTCATATACACCTTGCTTATGTTCTTATATATGTTTATACATAGCTTATTTATTAAATGTTTCTATTTAAATCTAGCTCCTGCATATGAGAGACTAAAGCTTTTGTAAGTTATTTGCTTCGTGTATTTTACTATAGAAATGGAAAACTTTATTATTTATTATTATGTATTATTTATTAATACAGAAACATATTAATAAATGCTTTAAAACTAGCATTAATAATGCCTGAAATATATGTCTTTACTAGATAGTCCAGAAGTTCTGTGCTCAACCACTGCGTCTGAAGGGAGAGTCTGGGTCATGCTTGCTATGTGAAGCAGAGTATGGTAAATACTGCTGGTACCGCTACCATGGACCTTGACCCTTTGGCGTTGCCAGTGTTTAGAGTTTATCTGAGAAACAAAGATCACGAATGTTTGCTTTCCCTGTTAAACTTTTCCTAACTTGAACCTTCCAGTTCTTAAAAGTTCTTTGTTTGAGGTCTATCCTCAGATGATTTTATTGCTTGTTGGCATGTAGGCTTCAAAGCCGAAAGCAAACCGGCTTCCTCAAGAGCGCATGTGTCCCCCCTGGGCCTAATAGCTGCTGTTGGTAGTGGAACTGGAAGCAGGTGTTGCTGACTCGCGTCTCTGCCAGTAGAGACCTTAGCCATGAGTTATCCGACCTGTGAAAAGTCAGACTCCCTTCCATAACCTGTGATATTTTTTGTGGGGAGAAAGCATGAGAGGGAATGTGGGATTGGGCTCAGTCAGACTCCGGGAACAAGTGGATGTGTGACCTGGAATCACTTCATTTTGCAGCAGTGTGCTGGCTAGTTTTATGTCAACCTGACACGATCTAGAGTCATTAGCAAGGAAGGAGCCTCGACTGAGGCAAACCTAATTAGTGATTGGTGAGGAAGGGCTCAGCCCCTTGTGGATGGTTCCACCCCTGGCTGGTGGTCCTGGCTTCTCTAAGAGGGCAGGCTAAGGAAGACATGTGGAGCAAGCTAGTACGTAGCTCTCCTCCATGGCCTCTGCATCTGTTCCTGCCTCGTTGGACTTCTGTCTCGATTTTCTTCGATGTAGAAGGGTAAACCAAATAAACCCTTTCTTTTCCTATTTGTTTTTTTTTTTTTAATCATAGAAATAGTAATCCTAACTAAGACAAGTTGGTACCAGGATAGTGGCCATTGCTGTGACAGGCCTGGCTGGTTTTGGTGGGGAGGATTATGGAAGGAGTTTGGAACTTTGGCCTAGAAAGTTTTTGTGTGTTGGGAGCTCAGTGAGCTGTCCTGTATTGTTGCGGGAGGTCCTTCCACTCCTCCAGCCAATAGCCACTGAGATACCAGCCCATTGGGGCGTGGTCTCTCTCCCTTTAAAAAAGGGGTCACTTTTCTCTTCTCTCTAGTCGCTTCCGGCGACTAGACTCCCTTCCTGATTGCACAGAGGGCTGTTGTCTGGGACGGTGATCTGTAAGTTTTTTTTCCCTTTAAATAAATAACCATTCTATTAATCATAATTCCAAACTAGTGTGGGATTGTTTGTGACTTACGCCTTCGCCTTCACTGTATGAGCTCCAGAGGTAAGACTATTGAGGACAGTGAGGATGATGGAGGCCTGGCTTGTGATGTTTCAGAAGGAAGCAAAGATCCTACTGGACCATTTGTGTGTGGTGTCTGGTCAACTGGAGCTGAAGAATCAGCTGTGATTAACTTGAGACCAGGGCCAATTAAGTAAAACCTTTGCTTTGCAGGGACAATGGATGCTGGTCAGCTGAGGCCGAAGAACCAGCTGTGATTAAGAAGAGACCAGCATCACCAGAGTGGAGTGTTCTGGGAAGAGGTTCATCTGAGTTAGCACACAGAAGCGGTGCTCCAGAGCGGCCAAGGTTGTGCCGCCTTGCACTGGCAGCTGAATTTGGTAGTTTAAAAGTCACCCAGGCGGCACTGGTTTTGGAGGCAGGAAGGGGTCAGGGAGAGCAGCTGAGGCTTGTTACTGTGAGAGGCCAAGAGAGGCCATTGGTGAAATGTACAGCTTCAGTAGCAGGATTAAATAGGTCATTCGGAGAATTTGCGGCTTGGTACCATGAAGAAAGTCCGGGAAAGGCTATTGGTGAAAGTCCAGTTGCAGCAAGAGACCCCAGCACTTTGGAGATGTCAGGACCATGGGGTGACCTCCAAGGACAGCATCAATGATAGAGAGGCAGTGACTTGAGTTTGGCAGACGAGCTGTGTGTGCTGCAGAGGGCAGAGCTGGGGAAGTGACCCAAGCCCTTTGGAGGAGCCCAGAGGATCATGAGTGAGTCCCAGATATTGGGCATTGAATTATTTCCACTGTTGGAGTTTGGTTTGTGCTGCAGCCAGTGCAGCCTGGATAGCCAAGACTGGTGGGGGTGCCGGAATTGAGACTCTGAGGCTTCTTTTCAGGTGGAAGAACAGCAACCTTTATTTTGCCCAGCAACCTTTTATACCTCTACTCCTTCTGCAGAGACCCATGGGCCAGAAAGAACACAAACATACTTGTCAATTACAGACAGCAAGGAAGTTCCGAGGTCAGTCAGGGGGAGTGAGGGCAGCTGGATCACAACAGGTTTGCTTTGTTTAGCTTGTGACTGCGCCCTGTTTTTCCCTCTTGAAGTAAGAAAGTACTTAATTTATTTTTGATTTGACAAGAACCCACAGTTGAGAGACTTAAAACTTAAAAAAGAAGAGATTTTGTAGTCTTACAGAGAATTTGGATTTTAAAAAAGACTGGATATTTTTAAAGATACAACTTTTAAAGTGTTTGAATTTGTAAGGCTGTGGGATTTGGTAAGTTTGTAAAACGTTTTATATTGTTATGTCTTTATTAATGTGTGATATTGGGCATGAACAAGAAAGGAAAGGTGTGGTGTAACAGTAATGTTTATGTAGCAAGAGCTGACAAAGGGTCAGCTGCCTGGCTAGTTCTGTGTCAACTAAAGGCACAAGCTAAAGTTGTTAGAGAAGAGGGCACCTCAAGTGAAAAACTGCTTCCGTGAGATCCTGCTGTACATTTTGAAAATCAATATGGCAGTTTCTCAGAAAATTGGGAATCAATTTACTTCAAGACCCAGCTATACCGATCATATACACAAAGGCTATCCAGTCATACCACAAGGATACTTGCTCCACTATGTTCATAGCAGCATTATTTGTAATACCCCGATCCTGGAAACAACCTAGATGCCCCAGGGAAACTCCGAGGGAAAGGGAAATAGAGGAGATTTCCTGGGTAAACTAGGGGTGGGGGTGCAGGAGGGAGAGAGTAGTGAAAGAGATGTCTTGATTCGGGGGAACTTCGGGATCAGGGAGAAACCTGGTGCCAGGGAAACTCCGAGGAATCCACAAGGATGACCCCAGTTAAGGCTCCTAACAATAATGGAGAGAGTGCCTGAACTGGACGTCTCTTGTAATCAGATTGGTGACTATCCTAATTGTCATCAGAGAGCCTTTATCCAGTAACTATTGGAAGCAGATGTAGAGATCCATGGCCAAGCTCTGGACCGAGCTCTGGGAAAAGCTGAAGAGGGGGCAGGGGAAAGGGGGACTGGAGAGATGGCTCAGAGGTTAAGAGCACTGACTGCTCTTCCGGAGGTCCTGAGTTCAATTCCCAGCAACCATATGGTGGTTCACAACCATCTATAATGAGATCTGGTGCCCTCTTCTGGCCTGCAGGCATGGAGGCTGAACACTGTGTACATAAAAATAAATAAATCTTTAAAGAGAGAGAGAGAGAGAGAGAGAGAGAGAGAGAGAGAGAGAGAGAAAAGGATTGTATGTGTGTGTGTGGGGGCAAGATCCTCACAAGAGAACACACAGAAACAACTAACTTGGACCCATAGGAACTCATAGACTCTCGACCAACAGCTAGGGAGTCTACGTTTGTGTGACAGTTGTGTAGCTTGGTTAATCTGTGGGACTCCTAGGAGTAAGATCAGGGCCTTTCCCTAATGCCTTGGCTGGCTTTTGGGAACCTATTCCCCATACAGGGCTGCCTGGCCCAGCCTTAATACAAAGGGAGGAGCTTAGTCCTACCTCAACTTAATATGCCATGATGTTGTTGACCTATGGGAGGCCTTCCCCTTCCAGAACAGAAACAGAGGAGTGGATGGGGGATGGGCAGCAGGGAGGCAGGGGAAGGAGCAGGAGGAGAAGAGGGAGGGGAAACAGTGGTCAAGATGTAAAATAAATGAAAAAGTAATTAATAAAAATGTAATTAATAAAAAGTAGATCTGGCTGTAGGAAAAGCTGTGGGTCATTTTATTAATTAGTGATTAATAATGGACTAAGCCCATTGTGGGTGATGTCATCCCTGGACTGGAGGTTCTGGGTTCTATCAGAAAGCAGGCTGGGCAAGCCATGAGGGAACAAGTCAGTAAGCAGCATTCTCCATGGCCTCTGCATCAGCTCCTGCCCCCAGGTTCCTGCCCTGGGTGAGTCCTGCCTCGCTGCTTTTCCTGCTCAACTCTTCTCTGGAGCTGTCTTTCGGTGACGGAGTCTCAACATGGCAGTAGTAACTCTAGGACAGTCAGCTTTGTCACGGTCACAAGCTGGGATGCACTTGATGTTCTCGGGAGCCTCTGTCTGCCCTCAACACGGCAGGAGGGAGGCACAGCAGCAAGAGCTGCTGGAGACTGTGGAAGCGGGAGGGTGAGGTTGCCTGCCTGCCTCTCAGCAGACCCAGAAGCAGGAACTGCCCAGGCAGTCCTCAGACTGGAGCTGTAAACCTCAAGGCCACACCTACTCCCATTAGCAAGGTTCCACGTTCTAAAGGCTCCCCAATTTGTTCAAACAGTGCAATCAGCTAGGGATCTAGCTTTCGTTAATAGTAACTCTGTTCTGCACTTGCGGATATTCTGGTTGACACCTGCACCCCATCTTTCCCAACTCCCATTTTTCCAGAGAATAAATTTCATGGGTCAAGACTGAACCTAGTAACTGTTAGGAACTGGGGCATGTGACTCCATAACTGATCTCTGTGGGGACACTGATCTGTGGGGCTCTCGCAGTGGGCATAAATTGACTACAGAGAAAGAAAAGGGACACTGTTCTACCTACCTCTTCTGTTTAGCCATTAAGAGTTTTTATTTAATACATTTAGGATAAAACATTGGGATAATGATTGTGATTTCACAGCATATGGAGTGTGTAATTTGGTTGAGCAAGGGACCAACTCTGAATACTAAATCTAACTTCCTAATCCTGCTTCTTTCGTTCTAACATACACTTAGGGTCAGTGACTGGTGCCGTGGCCTCTGAGGAGCATTGCTCCAGATGGTCCAGACGCTCTGTGGTGTTGCTACAGATCTGGGGAAAACAGACCCTAGCGTGTTTGGACCAGAGAAAGTCTCCTTGAGAACTGAGCTATGCAATGGTGACTTCGGCAGAGCTGTTATTTCCTCTGTCTGTTTCTACAGCTTCAGGATGTGAACTGGTGTGAGGGATTGTGGGTGACAGAATGTGGTTAGTGAATTTTAGCCATTAGTGTCCCTGTCTTTCCTTTCCTCTCCCTCCAGTACCTCAGGAAAGCTTTTTTTCCTCTTTCTGTTCTTCCTCTTCTTTCATCTCTTCCTTCCCTTCCTCCCACTCCTTTGTGAGACACATGACTCAGGCCCGGCCTGGAGTCCACTCTCTTTCTCTTTTGAAATTGCTTATTTAATCCCCACTCCCACTCTCTCTCTTTCTGTGTGTGTGTGTGTGTATGTGTGTGCGTATGCTTGTGTGTGAAACACAATACCTCAGTCAAATGTTTTATTTATGGGAATTATTTTTTTTTTGAATTAGAAAGGGACACAAGACAGAGACAGCTCAGAATGGCACTACTTTGTGCAAACGGTGAGTGTGGGGATGTGCCCAGTTGTCCCCTTGGCTAAAGGGACAAACTATTAGGAGGGCATGGGAAAGTGTCAACAATTGCCTCCAGTAGGCAGCAGAGACTCAGCCATATTTGCCACCAAGGCTACCCTCCTCCTGGGGCAGCCTACTTGCTTAAGGTGAAGGTGGAACCATGGTTTTTTTTTTCTGTACCTTGTGGGACAACCCTGGGCATTTCAAGGAGCTGAGCTAAAAGTCTGACGGTGGTGGCACACACCTTTAATCCCAGCACTTGGGGAGGAAGAGGCAAGTGGATCTCTGAGTTTTAGACCAGCCTCATCTACAGAGTGAGTTCCAGGACAGACAGGGCTATGCAAAAAGATTCTGTCTTGAAAAGCAACAACAACAACAAAGAGAGGGAGTGATGGAGGTGGGTCTTGTATCTTATCTGTTGATTTCATTGGTTAATAATAAAGAAACTGCCTCGGCCCTCATAGGACAGAAAATTAGGTAGGCGGAGTAGACAGAGGAGAATGCTGGGAAAAAGAAGCTGAGTGAGTGAGTCGCCATGATGCTCCCACTCCAGACAGACGCAGGTTAAGATCCTCTCTGGTAAGCCAGCTCATGGGCTACACAGAATATTAGAAATGGGTTAGAACAATATGTAAGAGCTAGCCAATAAGAAACTGGACCTAGCCGGGCCAGGCAGTGTTTGAAAGAATACAGTTTCCGTGTAATTATTTCTGGGTATAAACTAGCCATGCGGGCGGCCGGGTGCCGGGGACGCAGCCCTGCCGCTCCTATTTCAACAAGGGAGAAAGAAAAAACCTGTTTGTCTTTCATAAATTCCAAGCATATTTATTAACAAATTATGAATAATTATGACCGATATACAAATTTTTAAAACGTAATTTTTAATTGATTCTTTGGGCGTTTCACATCATGCACCCCAAATCCCACTGATTTCCCTGTCCCTCCATATCTGTGCTTTACCCTGGAAGTGTCCCTCCTCAAAATGAAATAAAAAAAACATTAAAGTAAGCAAGCAAACAAACAAAGAAAATCACTTTGCTTCTCTCTCTCTTTCCCAGCTCCCCATGGTCTTCTTTCATCTTGGTGGCACTGGGAACTGAGGTGTGTCGTGCAGTGCACCCTTTGGGTCAAACAGCTTTACTTGCAAATGTTCATTGTAATGAGTTGTCAAGGCCTCTGGCTTCTAGAACACCACCAATCCTGGACCCTCACTGAGACTCCTCTAGAATAACCGGCTGTTGCCCTGTGTCATGGAGATCCTGCAGTTATGGTTCCTTAGGATCGGTCCCTTCATGTGCTCCAGCAGGTCATAGATAGGGTGGATGCTGGGTGGGCCCACTCAAAGTCCTGGATGTGGGTCTGGGTGGTAGCTGAGTTCCTCAGTTCAGGCCTCCACTGGGACTGTTCCCCTCAGGTGAGGGACAGAGCCAGCACTCCTGCACTCATGGTGAGGGGTGGGGCCAGCTCTACCACTGCAGCCAGTATCACAGGGCAGGACCAGATGGCTCAGCGTGGCCCTTGGATTTCAACAGGCATGGTTTGCATGGCCCTTGGGGATAACACAGACTCTAGCTACAGCAGGACCACGGGACCCAGACTTGGCTCTTGGCAGCAGCCTAGGTGGCAGTGCAGGTCTCCCATATCAGCATAGCTCTGGCAGCAGCTTGCTCTCACTCCAACAAAGTCTCAGGCTGCAGCATCTGCACAGCCTTTGGTGGTAACAGAAGCCACAGCTGTCCACACAGACCCCAGCTGTGGTAAGATCACAGACACAGACGACGACTCTCAGGAGCAGACTAGGCCTGATGTCACCGTGACTCTGGGTAGCAGTGCCGGGCGCCAACCTCAGCCTGTTCTTGCCTTTGCTTCTTTAGTTCCTGTTCCTCCTTTCTCCACAGCATACGAACTGTTCCGCTTGGGCAGGCCTGTGGGTGTCTTCCACCCACCCTACACAAATATTTTTGACACATTACCTCACTCAGACAAATTAAGAAACGCTCCTTTAAAAAAAAATCTAGAAATCCTGTATCTCCTTCCCATACTCTCTGGTTTCCCCCTTCCGTCCTTTCCTTCCACACCCCCACCCTTTCTTCTCATATCCCTTTTCTCTTTCTTCCTTTCTCTCTGTCTTTTCAAAAAAATAATTTATTTCCATTTATTTTGTATGCATGGGTGCAAAGGTGTCAGAATCTTTGGAACTGGAGTTACAGACAGTTGTGAGCAGCTGTGTGGGTGCTGGGAATTGAACTCAGGTCCTCTGGAAGAGGAGCCAGTGCTTAACTGACCCATCTCTCCAGCCCTCTGTCTGTTTTTTTTTTTAAATCAGTGTGGTGGTTTCTCAGGAAATTGAGAATCAATCTACATTAGGATCCAGCAATACCACTCTTGGGAATATACCCAAGAGATGCCCAATCATACTACAAAAGCATTTGTTCAACTATGTTCATAGCAGCATTATTTGTAATAGCCAGAACCTGGAAACAACCTAGATGCCCCTCAATGGAAGAATGGATAAAGAAAGTGTGGAATATATACACATTAGAGTACTACTCAGTGGTAAAAAACAATGACATCTTGAATTTTGCATGCAAATGGATGGAAATAGAAACCACTATATAAGTGAGATATCCCAGACCCAAAAAAGATGAATATGGTATGTACTCACTTATTAGTGGATTCTAGCCATAAATCCTTCTATATGAAGTTGAGTATTATTCTTTTTAGGTCTGTGAAGAATTGTATTGGGATTTTGATGGGAATTGCATTTTCTGATATCTTCTTCAATTTCTTTCTTCAAAGACTTAAAGTTCTTAACATACAGATTTTTCACTTGTTTGGTTAGAGTTACCCCAAGATTTTATATATATATATAAAAAAAATTTGTGGCTATTGTGAAGGGTGATATTTCTCTGATTTCTTTCTTAGCCTGTTTATCATTTGTATATAGGAGGGCTACTGATTTTTTTGAGTAAATCTTGTATCCTGTCACATTACTTAAGGTGTTAACAGTAATTCTACCAGGAGTTCTCTGGTAGAATTTTTGAGATCATTTATGCATACTATCATATCATCTGCAAATAGTGAAAGTTTGACTTCTTCCTTTCTGATTTGTATCCCCTTGATCTCTTTTTGTTGTCTTCTTGCTCTAGCTAGAACTTCCAGTCCTATATTGTACAGATATGGAGAAAGTGGACAGCCTTGTCTTTTTCTGATATTAGTGGAATCACCTTGAGTTTCTCTCCATTTAGATTGATGTTGGCTCTCAGCTTGCTGTATATTGCCTTTATTATATTTAGGAATGTTCCTTGTACACCTGATCTCTGCAAGACCTTTATCATAAAGGGATGTTGGCTTTTGTTGAAGGCTTTTTCAGCATCTAATGAAATCATCATGTGTTTTTTTTTACTTTCAGTTTATTTATATGGTAGATTATACCAACAGATTTTCATATGTTGAATCATCCCTGCATCACTGGGATGAAATCTGCTTGATCATGATGGATGATTTGTTTTGATGTGTTCTTGGATTCGGTTTGCCAGTATTTTATTGATAATTTTTGTATCAATGTTCATGAGGGAGATTGGTTTGTAATTCTCTTTCTTGGTTAAGTCTTTGTGTGATTTAGGTATCAGGGTAACTATTGTCTCATAAAAAGAGTTTGGCAATGTTACTTCTATATCTTTTGTGTGGAACAATTCGAGGAGAATTGGTATTAGCTCTTTTTTGGAATTCTGGTAAAATTCTGTACTGAAACTATCTAGCCCTAGACTTTTTTTTTTTTGGTTGGGAGACTTTTAATGATTGCTTTTATTTTTTTAGGAGTTATAGGTCTAGTTAAATTGTTTATCTGGTCTAGATTTTATTTTGGTATGTGGTACCTATCCAGAAAAATCAACCATTTCTTTTAGATTTTCCAATTTTGTGGAATACAGGTTTTTGAAGTATGATGTAATAATTTCATGAATTTCCTCAGCATTTGTTATTATGTCCCCTTTTTCATTTCTGATTTTTTAAAATTTGGATATTCTGCCCTTGTCTTTTGGTTAGCTTGTATAAATTGAGACTGCTTTTTGTTCCCGACCACCCAGACCTGAATAATCACACAGAAACTATATTGATTGCAACACTGTTTGGCCAATAGCTTAGGCATATTCCTAGATAGCCCTTACATCTTAAATTAACCCATTATTAATCTGTGTATCACCATGAGGCTGTGGCCTACTGGTAAGTTTCCAGCATCCTCCTCCTTCAGCAGCTACATGAAATCTCTCTGATTCCACCTATTCTCTCTAAATTTCTCTGTTTGAATTTCCTGCCTGGCTTTACTCTGCTAAGCCATTGGCCAAAACAGCTTTATTTATCAACCAATAAAAGCAACACATATAGAGAAGGACATCCCACATCAAGTTTGGATAAGAGTTTGCCTGTCATGTTGATTTTCTCAAAGAACCAACTCTTTGTTTCACTGATTTTTTTGTATTGTCCTCTTTGTTTCTATTTTTATTGATTTCAGCCCTCAATTTGATTATTTCCTGTCATCTACTCCTGTGTGAATTTACTTCTTTTTGTTCTAGAGTTTTCAGGTATGCTGTTAAGTCACTAGTGTGAGATTCTCCAATTTTTTTTAAATATGGGCAATTAGTGCTTTGAACTTTCCTCTTAACACTGCTTTCATAGTGTCCCATAAATTTGGGAATATTGTACATTTATCTTTTTTTTTTTTTCGAGACAGGGTTTCTCTGTGGTTTTGGAGGCTGTCCTGGAACTAGCTCTTGTAGACCAGGCTGGTCTCGAACTCACAGAGATCCGCCTGCCTCTGCCTCCCAAGTGCTGGGATTAAAGGCGTGCGCCACCACCGCCTGGCTTGTACATTTATCTTTATTGAATTCTGGAAAGTCTTTAATTTCTTTTTTTATTTCTTACTTGACCCAGTGGTAATTCAGATGAGCATTACTCAGTTTCCATGAGTTTGCAGACTTTCTGTAATTTGTGATGTTGTATTCTAACTTTAAGTCATCCGATAAGATACAGGGCATTATTCCAATTTTTTTCTATTGAGATTTGCTTCGTGACGAAGTATGTGGTCAGTTTTAGAGCAGGTTCCATGAAGATTCGAGAAAAAGGTTTATTCTGTTGTGTTTGGGTGGAATGTTCTATAGATGTCTGTTAAGCCCATTTGAATCATGACATCTGTTAGTTCCATTATTCCTCTACTAAGTTTCTGTCTGGCAGACCAGCCCATTGGTGAGAGTGGAGTGTTGAAGTCTCCCACTATTAGTGTGTGGGTTTTGATGTGTGATTTAAGCTTTAGCAATGTTTCTTTCACAAATGTGGGTGTCCTTGTATTTGGGGCATAGATGCTCAGAACTGAGACTTCATCTTGATGAATTTTTTTCCTGTGATGAATATGAAATATTCTTCTCCATCTCTTTTGGTCAATATTAGTTTGAAGTCTAATTTGTTAGATATTAGGATAGCCACAGCAGCTTCTTATGTCCATTTGATTAGAAAATCTTTCCCCAACCTTTTATTCTGAGGTAGTATCTGTCTTTGAAGCTGAGGTGCTGTTCTTATATGCAGCAGAAGAATGGATGCATTCTGTTAGCTTGTGTCTTTTTATAGGTGAATGGAGCCCATTGATATTAAGGAATTTTAATGACCAGTGATTGCTGTAGAATATTATTTTCAGGTGAAGTGCTTTTGCTTACGCTCTGGAACATTTGTTTAATGATGCAAAGATGTGTTTGATTTAATAAAATTCACTTGTCAAGTTTCAGGAGGTCTCCACTGATCAAACCAGATTTAAATCAACCCGGAATGAATCCACAGCCTCTTGTTTCCTGTGGAAAACAAAAGCAAAACCACTTTTCCAAAGCATTTTTGATTTCCATTTGACAAATACATTTTTTTTTTACTTTTTTAAAGTTAAGGCATTCTTAAAATATCTAGTATTTCCACAGCCCCTCTTTTAATTCCAGGCCTCTCAGCCACTGCCCTTTGCTTCTCAGCAGTCCAAAAATTCAAAATCAGCACAATAGTGGACAGGACCCGGACTCCCTGGGCATTTCCTGTCTTACATGGCTTTTTCTTTTATATTACTTTTACTCCCTCTTTAAAGACTTTCTTTTTAAAAAGCCATTCATTTCTTTCTATAACCTATAGCCTATACCCATTTTCTTTCTTTCTTAAGCCCACACACACTGTAAAACACAGTGGAAACTATTTAGAGGTTTTTTTTTTTTTTTTTCCAAATCTGGACCTCATTTACTGCACATCTTTTAACCTTTTTGACGCATGAGCAAACTTTAGATTGTTAAGCTACACTGGCATCTGTGTGCTCTAGAAGCTGGTTCTGCCCTTTCTCGGGTTAGTTGTGAAAGTCAAGCCCAAGGCTTGCTGCCAGGATGAAGGTAGTGACCAGGAACTACGTCCAATCTTCCTAGAGCTCTAGAATGCCAATGCTTGCACTGTGGCAGGCACTTTTGTTTTTTGTTCCTACTTTGACATCCTGGCTGCTCAGGGGCTAGCCAGCAGGCACAAACTCTTAAAGGAGCCATATTCTTTTTCTGCTTTCTCAGGCTCTAGATGGATATTCGAGCCCTATGATGGTACACCAAAATGTTGTGTGATGTTTTATTCTTTTGGCTCTTTGATGGGCCCACTACCCAGCTCCCAAGTAAATCAAACACAGAGGCTTATTCTTAGTTATGAATGCCTAGCTTTAGCTTGACTTGTTTTTTACCAGCTTTTCTTACCTTAAATTATCCCAACTACCGTTTGCCTCCAGGCTTTTATCTTTCTTTATTTCTGTATACCTTCCTTTACTTCTTTCTCTGTGCTTGCTGTGTAGCTGGGTGGCTGGCCCCTGATGTCCTCCTCTCCTTGTCTTCTTTTTCCTTCTCTTCTTCCTGGTTTCTCCTTCTGTGCCTGCCAGCTCCACCAATGATGGGGGAGAGTCTTCTGGCTTGTGTTAATTTCATTGGTTAAATAAAGAGACTGCCTTGGCCCTTTAATAGGACATAAAATTAGGCAGGCGGAGTAAACAGAACAGAATGCTGGGAGAAAGAAGCTGAGTCAAGGGAGTCGCCATGATTCTCCCACTCCAGACAGACGCAGGTTAAGATCTTCCCTGTTAAGCCACCTCGTGGGCTACACAGATTGTTAGAAATGGGTTAGGTCAATATGTAAGAGCTAGCCAAAAAGAGGCTGGAACTAATGGGCCAGGCAGTGTTTAAAAGAATACAGTTTCCGTGTAATTATTTCGGGTGAAAAGCTGCATAAGCCATGCAGGTAGCCGGGTGCCGGGGACGCAGCCCCGCTGCTCCTAATACAACACACCTATTCTTGCTCCTACCATGCTATTGGCCGTTTAGCTCTTTATTAGGACCATCAGGCGGTTTAGACAGGCAAAGGATCACAGCTTCACAGAGTTAAACAAATGCAGAATAAACAAAAGCCACACATCTGAAAAGAATTTTCCCCAAGTGATTAATTCCTGTTAATTTTGGGTTTTGTTGTTGTTGGTAGTGTGTGTGTTTCCCTTCTTTGTGATTTCCTGGTGTGAGATTATCTCTTGACTGTGTTTTTGTGGGTGCAGTTAACTTTCTTGGATTGTTGTTTTTCTCTAGCACTTTCTGTAGGGCTGGATTTGTGGATAAGTATTAAATATGGTATTGTCGTGTTATATCTTGTTTTCTCCATCTATGGTGATTGAAAGCTTTGTTGGGTATAGTAGTCTGAGCTTGCATCTGTAGTCTCTTAGTGTCTGCAAAACATCTGTCCAGGACCTTCTGGCTTTCAGAGTCTCCATTAATTCTGATAGGTCTGCCATTATATGTTCTGTAAGCTTCTGTGTCTTCATAGGCATATCCTTCTTTAGGTTAGGAAATTTTTTCTAACTAAAGTATTTTGTTGAATATATTTTCTGTGTCTTTAAGTTTGTATTTTTCTTTTTCTATCCCTATTATTTTTAGATTTGGTCTTTTCATGGTATCACAGATTTATTGGTTGTGTTGTGTTAACACTTTTTGGGTTTAATATTTTTTTTTGACCGACAAATCTATTTCCTCTATCATGTTCTCAACGCCTGAAATTCTCTCTCCCATCTCTTGCATTCTGTTGGTTATGCTTGCATCTTGTAGTCCCTGTTTACCCTGATTTTCCATTTCGAGAATTCCCTCTGTTTGTGTTTTCTTTATTGCCTCTGCTTCAATTTTGAAGTCTTGAGAACTGTTTCCTTCACCTATTTAACTGTTTAAGCTGTTGGCTTTAAGGGATTTATCTTCCATTTTTTTTGTCTTTTCCTCAATTTTTTTTCAAGACAGGGTTTTTCTGTAGCTTTGGAGCCTGTCCTAGAGCTTTGGAGCTCTGTAGACCATGCTGGCCTTGAACTCACAGAGAGGCCTGTCTCTGCCTCCCAAGTGCTGGATTAAAGGCATGCGCTACCATTGTCCGACTTCCTCAATTTCTTTAAGGGAATTTTTCATTTTCTCTTTAAGGGCCTCTAGTATCTTCATAAAGTTATTTTTAAGGTCAGTTGTGATGTTCAGGTCTTGCTGTTGTAGAGCCACTAGGGCCTGGTGGTGCCATAGGGCTCTTCATGTTGTTCCATGTCTTCTTACATTGGCGTCTACCCATCTCTTCCTCCAGTGGGTGCAGGCAGTGCCTGTGCTTCCCGGGGCTGCTGATGCCATGGTGGATGGTTGGCAGTGGTAGGAGGATTTCAAGGAGTGCGTGGAGTGGGATTTGTAGATTACAGGGTTCAGTAGGAGGTGGATGTGGTGGAGCAACCTGTGCACAGGAGTCTTACCTGCTAATTGGCTGGTGGGCTGCCATGGACTGGGGAGGGACGCGTGATGTGGGATTCCTTCTATATGCTGTGAATGCCGTTGGTTAACAAAGGAGATACTTTGGGCTTATTACAGTGCAGAATATCTCAATGGAGAAAATGTCCCTTCAGATTAACCTGTAGGCCAGTCTGTGGGACATTTTTGTGATTGGTGATTGATGTGGAAGAGCCCAGCTCCGTATGGGCAGTGCTCGTCCTGGGCAGGTGGTCCTGGATTCTATAAGAAAGTAGGCTGAGCAAACTATGTGGAGCAAGCCAGTAGCAGCATCCTCGAGGGCCTCTGCATCAGTTCCTGCCTCCAGGTTTCTGCTTGAGGTCTCACCTTGGCTTCCTTCAATGATGGACTGTGATCAGGATGTGTAAACCAGATAACTTTCTTACCTAAGGTGCTTTCTTCTCCAATTTACTCAGCAATAGAAACTAGATTCAAGCACCCTGCCCAGCACATTTTAATTTAAAATTTACTTTTAATAATTTCTTTTAAGGCTAATAACAATGAGGGATGAGTTATACAGACAGTTATGACAAATAGATACACAGAGATACACATACAAAGACATACACACACACACAGACAGACAGACACACACACACTTTAACCTCTAGTTTCTCTTTCTTCTTTTTAGTCAGGCTGAATGGGAACTGCTAAGAGTCAATCTTTGGGCAAATAAAGCACCCTAATAATGTGTTGCCATTTGGAAACCAGGCTGTTCTGAAACTGGTGTGATTTTCCTCTGTATGCTATGAATATGTTTTATTACCATTAGTTAATAAAGAAGCTGCTTTGGCCTATGACAGAACAGAATAGATCTTGATGGAAAAACTAAACTGAATGCAGGGAGAAAGAAGGTGGAGCCAGGGAGACACCATGTAGCTGGACCTTACCGGCAGGCCACAGCTTTGTGGTGGTACACAGATTAATAGAAATTGTTTAATTTAAGATGTAAGAGCTAGGTAGGAATCCACCTAAGCTATTGGCCAAACAGTGTTCTAATTAATTAGTTTCTGTGTCATTATTTGGGTCTGGGCAGCCGGGAAACAAACGAGCCATCTCCGTTTACACGGGACTTTCCTGGCCATCCCTGGCCCAGCCATTAAGTATACTTAGTGACTGTAGCTGGGAAAGGCAGTTCTGCTTTAGTTATCAGCAGATGAAGGCAGACATGGGGGAGGAAGCGGTAGTCACTTAGTCCTTGTCCCTTTCCTTTCCTTTGTTCCTATTAGTGCTAAATAACAAAACCTGCTCTCAGGTCAAGCACTGTGGGACTTTGGCCTCTGTGGTGGTTTGAGTAGGAACAGTCCCCATAGACTCATGTGTTTGAATGCTGGGCCTATAGGGAGTGGCACTGTTAGGAGGTGTGGCCTAATTGGAGGAAGTGTGTCACTGTGGAGGTAGGCTTTGAGGGCTCATAAATACTCAAGCCATGGCTAGTGTGACAGTTCACTTCCTGTTGCCTTGGATCAAGAATTAGAACTCTCGACTGCTTCTCTATTACCATGTCTGCCTGCATGCCTCCATGTTCCACCATGATGACAATGGACTAAACCTCTGAGACTGTAAGCCAGCCCCAGTTAAATGTTCTCCTTTATAAGAGGTGCTGTGAGACACCTTTAGTCCCAGCACTTGGGAGGCAGAGGCAGATGAATCTCTATGAGTTCGAGGCCAGCCTGGTCTATAAGAACTAGTTCCAGGACAGGCTCCAAAGCTGCAGAGAAACCCTGTCTTGAAAAAAAAAAAGTGGTCATGATGTCTCTCCACAGAAATGAAACCTTAACTAAGCTTCCTTGAGGTGAAAATAAAAGGAATGGGTGGGATTCTTAAGTGAAAAAGGCTGAAGAAAGGAGTTCCTTGTTGGTGGAGACTGCTTGTTTGTTTCCCGGCTGCCCATACCTGAAATAATTATACAGAAACTATATTAATTACAACACTGCTTGGCCAATTAGCTCATGCATATTTCTAGCTAACTCTTACATCTTAAATTAATCCATTTCTATAAAACTGTGTATCACCATGAGGCTGTGGCATACTGGTAAGGTTCTGGCTGGCGCTCACTGTCTTTCTCCTTCGGCAACTTATATGGCATACTTTGACTCCACGTACTTTCTTTCTATATCTCTCTTCAGATTTCCTGCCTGGATTTACTCTGCTAAGCTATTGGCCGAAGCAGCTTCTTTAATAATAAAACATATTCATAGCATTCAGAGGGAAATCCCACATCACCTCCCCTTTTCTGTCTAAATAAAAAAGAAAGGTTTTAACTTTAACATAGTAAAATTACACATAACAAAACAGGTATCAAGCAAGAATTACAGTTATAATATTTATATCTACTTCATCTTTTATTGTAACTAATAAAAACTTTGATTATAACTATTTATTCTTCAACTCCATCATAGACCCCAGAAGGATATATTATTACCTATGTAAACAAGGAGTGCATTGTAAGCAACTTCCAAAACTCTAGAATTGACAGAGACATCTTATTGCCTGGACAGTCACTCAAAGTTCTTCTGTAACATTGGGGCATCCATCTTCAGCCTACAGGCCCATATTATCTGATAGACTTTTCCACGAAGCAGGAGATTTGAAAGACTGTTTCGCCTCTATTGACAGTTTGTCAGTCACTTTCTTCTGTATCCTGTAGAATGTCTGGCAGACTCTTTTATGAAATAGGAACCCTGAAGGACCGTCTCACCTTTAGGCAAGATCAGCAGTCATTTCTCTGTGGGTCCTACATGTCAATTTTAAACAGCATAACATCAAACAGTCCAGGCAAGAGCAGTTTCTTGCCCAAATGGCCCACAACCTCCATAAGGAGCCTCTTTGATGTCCATCATCCTCTTGAAGTAGATTGGTGCTGCTAGGAGCAGATGTGTCTCATTGTCATGAAAAATCCTAAGTTCTTAAATAAAACATTTTAAATGCCATATTCTGAAGGTCTTTGAAAGGTTCGAATATACTCATCCATCTGAAAAATATCTCTGTGCATCTAGAAAACCTAACTAACATGACTACATTATAGCTGACTATTGACCTATATTCCTTAGTTATGCATTACATTTTCAAATGAGCTGTACAAACACAGTGCCTTTATCAAGAGCAGAAATATACATATCACAAAATTGGCCTTAAATTTGTATCAATAAACCAAGATCCACACCAATGAAAAATATTCATCTCTCTAGCAGTTCCTGTTCTAATGTTAGGGGCTGGGAGGGTGAACAAACATCCTCTCAACAGGCTCTTTTGTGGTCACATTCAAGAAGGTCATATCTATGCTAAGCAGCCTAAAGCTGCTTACTTTGAGTTTCCCAACCATAGCTTCTTTTTGATTTCCAACAGGATAACCTGGGGTGGCCTTGAACTCACTATGTAGCCAAGGATAACCTTGAACTTTTGACCTTCCTTCCTTCCTTCCTTCCTTCCTTCCTTCCTTCCTTCCTTCCTTCCTTCTCTCTCTCTCTCTTTCCTTCTTCTTTGTAAAGATTTATTTATTTATTATGTATATAGTGTTCTGCCTGCATGTATGCATGCCAGAAGAGGGCACCAGATCTCATTATAGATGGTTGTGAGCCACCATGTGGTTGGTGGGAATTGAACTCAGGACCTCTGACAGAGCAGACAGCACTCTTAACTTCTGAGCCATCTCTCCAGTCCCAGTGGTCCTCTTTCTTCCACTTCACAAGAGTTGTGGTTACAGACATACCCTACCACCAACAGTTTATGGTGGGCTTGGGTCGAACCCATGGCTTCATGAATACTAGGCAAACACTCATCCTCTTCCCCCCTTTTCTGAGACAGGTTCTCACTATACTACCTGGGATGGCTTGAAACTCAGAGATCCACCTGCCTCTGCCTATCAAGTTCTGGGACCAAAACTGTATGCCACCATACCTGACCCTTCCTTTCGCTTCCTTTCCCTTTCCCTTCTCTTTTCTTCCCTCTCCCCCTCCTCTTCTCCTTTCCCCATCCCCTTTTCTCCCCTCCCCATATGTGTATAAGTATTTTACTTGCATGTATGTCTGCATACCACATGTGTGCCTTGTGTCCTTCAAGGCCAGGAAATGACATCAGATCCCCTGGAACTGAAGTTAGACCGTGGTTAGTTTTCATGTGGTTGCTGGGAATTGAACCCTGGTCCTCTGGAAGAGCAATCAGTGCCTTTAACTGTTGAACCATGTTTCCAGCCTTGGCCCTTTGTCTTTCTGAAACAAATTGTATTCTATAGCCCAGGCATATCTGTAACTCATGAAGTAGCCAGCATGGACTGGCCTTGAACTTGCAGTCCTCCTGCTCCAGTTTCTCAGGTGCTGAGGTTACAGTACATTATCACTATGCCTGGCTTCCACTCACAACTAACTGATGTGGGAAGGTCATTTGTCTATCTGTTGATTTCATTGGTTAATAAAGAAACTGCCTTGGCCCTTTGATAGGACAGAATATTAGGTAGGCGGAGTAAACAGAACAGGATGCTGGGTAGAAGGCAGTGATGCAGATGTGATGAAGCTCCGACCCAAGATGGACGTAGGCTAGAATCTTCCTGGTAATGGTGCTACACACATTATTAGAAATGGGTTAATCAAGATGTGAGAATTAGCCAATAAGAGGCTGGAACTAATGGGCCAGGCAGTGTTTAAAAAAATACAATTTGTGTGTTGTTATTTCGGGGCATAAGCTAGCCAGGCGGCTGGGAGCCAGGTGGCAGAAACGCAGCCCACCACTCTTCACTACACCTAACTTCCTGATTAGCTGAGCATGAAGGTATGTATCTCTAATCTCAGCACTTGGGAGGTGAAGGCAGAAAGGTCAGGAGTTCAAGGCCAGCCTGGGTTATATTATTGCAGTAGCATTGGAGGTTCATTAAATGGGACAATTATTTTATTCTCATCAAGGAACTGAACTCTCTAGCCTGGGTGAAGACCCCACATTCCAGTTGGGAGGAAGATGGGACCACCTCTTGGGGAGATGGGTTCACCTGGTAGCATGCTAAAGGAATGGGAGGAGTATTTATCCCTTTTATAAGATTTTTCCTTCCCAGAATTCCTGACCTCTGTACAGTTGCTATAGTACCAGCATGAGACTCTCTTGGGAATGCCCATCTTTCTAAGGCTTGAGACCCAGAAAAATATAACTTTTTTTTCTTAAAACAAACAAATAAACAAACAAACACCCCTCCTTTTTTCTTCTTCCAAAGCCTGGGCATGCTTTGCTTTCCCAGACATTCTGGGCTTTCTTGTTCTTTTTCTAAGTTATTTATCTCACCTTTCCATTATGTGGCTGCTTACTATGGCATGGCTTTCTCCCTTCCTTTCCTCCATCTGCCTTCTCTCAGAAGCTGGAGGGTTAATTTGATGGAGTCCATTCTCAAATTCTTCCACCATGAGACAAAGACCACTGAGAGAAGACCCCGATTTTCCCAGGAGCAATATAAGACCCTGTGTCAAAAGAGCAAAGTCAAACCAACCACAATTGACACGGTGCTCATTTCCCCAGGCATAAGGGGAGCCAGCCTCAGATGTCAAGTGAATCATCAGAACAGACACATGTCTAAGGCCTCAGTTATGAAGCCAGGATGTCTTGGCATCAAGACAGTCTCAGTCTCCTTTCCTCTATCCCTTCTACTCAGCCCCTGTCTTCTTCCTCCATCCCTTTTGTGCAGGACAGCTTCTACCATCTTCCTCCATACCTTCTGCATGTGACACCCCGTCTCCTTCCTCCATACCTTCTGCTTGTGACACCCCGTCTCCTTCCTCCATACCTTGCGCATGGGACAGCCCCTGCCTCCTTTCCCCATCCCTTTTGCAAATATGCTATCTGGTGCTTTTTCACTTGCTATTTCACAAGGTGTCAGAGGTGGTTTTGTCTGTTCTGGCTTCTAACCGTCAAGACAAAGTTGAAAAGACTGACTGCTATCCATACATGAAGAGAGCATCAGGTTGGTGCAGCTGAGACCAAGAGAGGATGGGAGGGAGGCAGAAGCTGGACCCTCAGGATTGTTGGCACTGCCAACATAAAAACATGGCTCTCACCCCAAAGGGAATAAGAGGTGGTTAATTCTGGAGCGGAATATGAATGACCATGCCCTAGGGACAGGGAATCAGGTTGCCCCAAATACCATGCTCCAGCGTAACAGTTTGGTGAAGTTTTTATAGTAACAGAACATAGTCATAAATCAAGGTGTTTAAGAATAAATTAGTGGAAACATCACGCAGGCGTGTTGCTGCAAAGTCGGGGGGGGGGGAGGGGAGTCTGCTCTAGGTCTCTGGTGCTTCTGATGTCATTCTCGGCCTCTGTGTTCGTGGAGGCTAGGGGCCTGTTCAGATGTTCCAAGAGATTTACGTAATGCCACAGAGATGCTAGGTCAAACACAGAAGTGAGCAATGAATGACTATTAAGGGGACTAAAGATAGCTCGAGATAATGTGGCTCCGGAGGACAACATCCCAGTTCTCCACGGTCATGACGGTTCTGGTCAATCAATCAGCCTTGCGGCATCTTTAACACAGGTGGAGCTCTGTTCTTTGAATTCCTGTTTCTGGAACAGGCACAGAGAGAGCGAGACGAGGCAATTCTTTGGTAGGAGACACAGTTTGAATTCAGAAATTTTTATTGATCACTAAGTATATTACTGGAACCTATCACGCACAGATAATGAATAAAGTGGAATTGAATTAAAGAATCGAAGATGGGAAGTGGGCAGGGAATAGAACAATCATTGGAGCCAACTCTCTTGTTTTGTTCTGAGATGGTTTCTTGCTCATGTTTCAGCATCCCGAGTACGGGGGTTACAGGTGTATCACCAGACCTGGTTGGACTATAGCTTTGTTAATGTTGGAGGGGCTGTCCTCCGTCTGGGCTAATGGAAACTGGGGTGGCATGTGTACCACCTCCCATTTAAGTATCTTTTAAGGCTGAGAATGACTTTGAACTCCTGATCCCCCCTGGAATCCTGGGATTATAGGCATGTACCACCATGTCTAATGTGACGGTATACACTGCCAGCAGTGTTAACGGATGCATCTGGAATAACCAAAGAGATCATCTCCATCTAGATTAGGCTAGCCTCTGGTTATGTCTGTGAGAGATGACATAATTAGGTTATCTGAGGTGAGACCCATCCTGAATATCCATTACCATTCCATGGACTGAGGTCCTGGACTGCATACGAAGGAGGAAAAGCTGAGCGCCAGCATTCATGGCTCTACGCAAACTGACTGCAGATGAAATGCCGCAACCGCCTCCAGATCCCACCACCATGCCTTCCCTCCCATGCCCTTAAGCTGCCAAATAAAGGCTTCCTTTGTTAAGTTGCTTGCTCCAGGCATTTGGTCACGGTGACTAATACTGCGTTCACGTCCCCATGCCAGGCCTGCTGGGCCACAGCCAGTGTCTTTTAAACCCGAAACTTTTCAACTGATGATTATGTATGTCTCTGCACCACGTGCACGTAAGAGTCCAGAGTGGCTGGAAGAGGGTGTTAGGTCCAGAGAACAAAATCTGGGTCCTCTGCAATCCCCAGTAAGCACTCTTAGTCACTGACCCATCTCTTTAGCCACGGGAACAGTGTCTTTTGATGTCACTGAGCTTCCGTCAGTACTGAAGCAACAGCCAAACCAGAGGATGGGGTTCCGGGGTCAGTGCTGACTATTCTCAAGGATTTCCGGTCACTTGTGGCTCAGGTAAAGGCACAGGCGGGAATGTGTGACTATAGCAATACAGATCAACACCAATAACATGGGGAGAGAGAAGGAAGGAACAGACAGTGGGCTTCCTTATGGAGGAGGCTTGGCCTGTGGCCTTCTGTACGGACAGTTGCTCGGTAACCAGAGGTCTGATTTTATGGCTAGCCTGATGGGGGGGGGGGAGGGGGGAGGACATCAGTGACTGCTGGGCCTGCTGTTGCCATGGAGACAACAGATGTGGAAGGAAATATGTAACAGAGTTCACCAGGAGTCAGAACTTCTAGGTCCACTGAGTCCTCCTGGAAACCAAGAGGCAGATGCCCTTATTAAAATACAGACCATCTGCCTTCAGCTGTCCCTAGCGGCTGCTCACTGGGTTCATGTAAGGTTTGGCCACTTGGGAGCCAATACAGGCTGGAAAAGAGCCAAGGCTGCCATAGGACCTAAAAAGTGTGCTCTCTGCTGCAGACATGGCAGATGCCATGATGGAGCAAATGCAGAAACAGACCTTTCCGTGTGTGCGGATTCGACAGATAGGCTACTTAGAGTTTATTCTAGTTGGGCTTTTTTTCCTAGTTATTCTTAACTGTCAACTTGAAACAACCCGGAGTCACCTGAAACTGTGCCTCAGTTGAGGAACTTACCAGGGGAGAAGATGAGACTTGCCTGTGGGCATGTCCCTAGAAGGACTATCTTGATGGGGAATTGATGGAGGAGGGTCCGGTCCACTGTGGGCGGCACCATTCCCCGGGCAGGTTGTTCTGGGATGTGTAAGAAAGTTAGCTAAGCACGAGTCTGCGAACAAGCAAGAAAGCCGTGTTCCTCTATGGCTCCGTTTCAAGTTCTTGCTTAAGTTCCTGACCTGCCTCGTAGGCCAAAAAAACTTTTTGTCTCCACGTTGCTTTGGATCAGAGTGTTGCACAGCAACAGAGAGTGAATTAGAAACAGGAACTGATACTGGAAACTGGGCTGCCGTTGTGACAGGCTTGACCATATGGCTTTTGACGCATTTGGAATCTTTGGTTGGAGAAATGTGGAAGATTTTGGAACTTGGGCTAGAAAAGCCATTGAGTGTTCAGAGCTTAAAGAACCCTTGCTGCGGGAGCTTGGGAGACAGGAATGCCGAGAGAAGGTTAACCATGGAGGCCTGGCTTGTGAAGTCTGGGGGTGGGGCAAGGACTCTACTGGGGCTTGATTAGGGGGCATTTGTATGATATTTTGGCTAGTAATCTATATGAACTAATCAGCTGTACTGAAGAATGAGCTGTTATGAATACGAGGTCAGCCCCATTGGCAGGATAGGAAAGTATTTCCTCTGAGTCAGCACATAGAGCTGGTCCAAAGGGTTTGGGCAGTATTTCAAGCATACAGCAGCATTTGGCTCGTGGTATATAATCCACCAGGGTGGCACTGGTTTCTAAGGCATATGTGCTCTTCCTGTAGACACTGTTGTGTATGCTGAACATTGTTGAAATAATGCTGGTCGAATAATACCAGGCTAACTCCAACATAAACCAATTCTTTATTATAAGGGAATGAGAAGTCCAAGCTCAGCTGTGTAGCACGGGAACCACAGAGAGAGAGAAAGAGAGAGAGAGAGATCCAAAAGGTCACGCCCTAACCTGGTCCCACCTCTTAAAGTTCATGACTGACAGAGATTCCCCATCAGAACACCAGCCATAATTCTCTTTTAGTTGTTAAAGTGCTTGTCTAGAAGACACAGCCCAGCACCACGTAAACCAGACACAGTGCTGCATGCCTATTATCCCAGCACTTGGAAGATGGAGGCACGATTATCTTCAACTACATAGCAACTTTGAGGCTACGCTGGACCACATACAATCCTGTCTCAAAAAGTATTGTCTTTATGAGCAAGTCTTAAACGTATATTTTCATTCACAATATACTACTTTGCATTGATTTTTTTCTTTTAATTTGAGACAGGATCTCACTAAATAGCCCAGGCTCACATTGGACTCTAGATCTTCCCGCTTCAGTCTACTGAGTGCTGAGATTATTGATGTATGCCAGATAATATATATATATATATATATATATATATATATATATATATATATATGTTTCACACTTTGAAGAGGAGGATCCAAAGCTGTGTGTTTGCATCATGGGCTGGGGGACAGTAGTTTGTAAAGTACTACAAGAAAGAATTATGTACAGAAAACCAGAGTCAGGCTGTTTGAAAGCAGAGCTGCAGAGGAAGGGGGAACCCAGGAACTTTAGACTGAAAAGAACTAACCCCATCTTTCTTTAAGCAGCAACAACTGAAGAGAAGTCATCTCACAGAAATCCTTCAGCTTTGGAACAGAGAGCTCATCAGTGATGTAGCCCTGGATGCTTAGTTAAGACTTCTGACTGGGTTAAGGAACCATGGCAACCCTCTGGAAGGGTGACCAAAGCCAATGAAGGCCCTATTGGTCTAATAAGAACCTGTGATTAGATCAAGCAAACAAACAAACAAAAAACATGCCTTAGGAGGCCTCTATTTTTCAGGTTATCACCATCTGATGTTGGATTTTCCTCTATATTTGTTGAATACCATTTGTTATAAAGGAACTGTCTTGGACCTACACAAGGCAGAATAGAGGTAGGTGGGGAAAACTAAACAATGCTGGGAGAAAGAAGGCAGAGTTGTAGACATGCCATGTAGTCACCACCAGGAACAGATAATCTGCAACCTTGCTGGTAAGCCACAGCCACATGGCAATACACAGGTTAATAAAGATGTGTAACATG